GCCTGGAGCCTGTTTCAGTCTGTGACTCCCTCTCTCTCTGACCCTCCCCTGCTCACGCTGTCTCTCTCTCTCTCTCCTAGAAATAAATAAAACATTAAAAAAAAAAAATTTAAGAAAATGGTGAAGATGGTACATTTTGTTATGTGTATCTTACAATAAACACAAAACTGTAAGGGAGCTTTCTGAGCTGATGAAAACCTTGTCACTGTGGCAGTGGAAACATAGTCACAAGTATCTGTCAAAATGCGTTAAACTGTACATTTAAAATAGAAGCGCTCTGGGGCTCTAGTTTAAATAGAGCCTGGGTGGCTCACTCGGTTGAGCATCCGACCTTGGCTCAGGTCATGATCTCACAGTTCATGAGTTCGAGCCCCACGTCGGGCTCTGTGCTGGCAGCTTAGAGCCTGGAGCTGCTTCAGATCCTGTGTCTCCCTCTCTCTCTGCCCTGCTCGTGCCGTCTCTCTCAAAGATAAATAAACTTCTTAAAAAAAACAGGAGCGCCTCATAGCATATAAATTATGGCGCTGAGCAGTTACAAGATGTGGTACTGACCCGAGTACAGACCTAGCGGTGGACAGAAACAGGAATCTAAGACAGACCCGGGCTGGACGCTGCGAGTCTATGGGGAAAAGGCACGTCACTCAAACGGCTGGTATGTGACGGGAGCTTGCTGCTTGGAAAATGGGGAAGCCAAGATCCCAGTTTTGCTCCCGGTCTCGGACCAATTCCAGACCGATCGGGGCTGTAAATGTGAAACACACAACCACAAATGCAGGATGAAGTGTGTCGGCGCAGTACTTCAGGAGCACACCGGAAGGGGCTGAGTCCCCTGCCAATCGTGTCTTAAACATCGGTACCAGGAAGAAAACAGGGTGGTAAGTGCAGCCCCCAAAACACGGGCTGGTGCACTGGGAGCCCGGCCCCCCGCGCCTCACGCCACACGATCGCAGAGACCTCACCGCGGCGCCGCGGCCAGAGAGAAGGCCCATGGCGTGTAGGCCTCCGAGGCAGCAGGGTCCCAGACGAGGAAGGTGGGCACAGACGCCACTGCCCCCATGTCTGCTGGGCACGGACAGCAGTGCCGGGAAGGGTCCTTCCTGCCTGGCCCGCCAGACCACGGAGGCCACGTGTGACCTCCTGACCCATTGCCAGCCCGGTGGGACACGCTGCACTCACTCGCAGCGATACCACACCCGTGACCTCTTCCCGAGTTTGTTTCCTTCCCAGCTTGGTTTCTCCAGCACATTCTACATGGTGAGGAGTCCACCTGAGCTGCAGGTCTGTAGGGGCAAGATGGGGCAGGGTGTCAGCCCTGGTCGGGGAGGGCGCGCTGCAGCCTGGCCTCTGGTTCCAGACGTGACCAGTGGCGCTGGTGCCCGTGTGCCCCTGAGGTGTCTGCAAAGTGACGATGCCCTAGGACCAGGGCGAGGGCGGCTCGCCCCAGGCCGCTCTGTGGCAGGCGAGGCCCCAAATCTGCGTGTCCAGGCCTGAGGCCAGGTACACCCTCATGCCGCCTCACCCCTGCCTGATGCAGGGCCTGCCCAAAGACCCCCGTCCTTCCTGGACTGGACCCTCACCACGACCCAAGGAGGAGGTCCCGTAGAGGCGCAGAGCAGTGCCAGAGTGACAGCTGTTGTAATTCTTACCAGGGCTCGTGAACAAGCTCACAAGTTAATTCTTCACAAAGCCAAGAGCATCTTCTATGATCAGATCAGTGCAAGTCACTCCCAGACCCCAACACTTCAGCGTCTTCCCACTTCCCCAACCGCACCCTGCAAGGCTGTGTGTGTGAGGCCTCACCCCAGGGGCCCCGACCCAGGACCCAGCTGACTGCACCGCCTGCTCCGTCAGCTCCAGCGGCATCCCCTCCTCGGCGTCCCGAGCCAGCGCAGGGCTGTCTGCCTGGCTGCCTCTCCGCTGCGGGACTGGCCTGGGCGCCGCCGCCCGCCAGCCGCTTCCTCTAATGAGGCCGCCCCTAAGGTCTTCATCATCTGCTGCGCTGACAGCCCCTCTGGGCCGTGGGGACCGAGCTAACTGTGCAAGCAGCCTCGAGGGCCCCCAGCGCCATGACACTGCCGGAGGGCCCCTGATCTCTCCGCAGATGGGATGAATGAGCTCAAGACCGGTTACCTTCCATGGGCATGGCCACTGGGTAGCCAGGAGTCTGGGCCGGCGAAGGGAAACCAGGTGGTGTCCCCAAGCCTCAGACCCGTTAGACCCCCTCAGGCATACCCATCTCAACAAGCTGTTATCAGACAGGAATGCTGAGAAAATTCGTGTGTTCCTGTGGGTCGTGACTCCTCTGGGTCCCAGTCTGGGGGCGGGGGCGGGACGTTGCACATTCAGTTCAAGGTATGGGGCTTAAGTACCACTTCCAGGGCCAGGAGGTGGCGCGCCCCGGGGCGCTGAGACGCTGAGAAATTCAAGGGGAGCAGAGAAGAGGGAGAGAGGGGAGGGCCTTCCCCACCACTCCCAACTCTGGATGTCAGCCTGGCAGGCAAGGGGGAAGGCCACTGTCCCAGGTCCATCCAGTCCCCCCCCCACTCCCCCGGCCACAATGGGCCCAAGCTAAAGTTTGCTTGGGGAAGTTGAGGGAGCTGAGTCTGCAGGGGTCCTGGACACCTGGCCGGGCACAGCCATGCCCATCTGGGAAGGCTCTGAACACACAGGCAGGCACGCTCAGCGCTCAGAACCTCTGCAGGGCCCTTGCCCAGGTTCCGGCCCGCTTCCCAGGGCAGGCGAAGAGGCGTGTTGCTGCGGGAACCCACCCAGCACACACTCCCTCCGTTCCTTCCCTTCCAGGAGGAGGGGTCTGGAGCTGGCCAGCTGACCCAAGGCGGGTGGGTAGCCCCAGGGCAGCCACCAGACTCGAGCAAATAACTTCCCAAGAA